GCCTGAGAGAAACCCTCGCCACTTCTCGGCTTTACTTCAGAATGACGCTGAGTTATTACCCGGGGTCCCAAACCGACCTACACCCCAATGGCCTAGTAACAGAAGAAACATACCTATTTCCGCCTCTTCGCACTGATTCCTCACTTTTATAAGTCACCATTTCTGTCACTCAAAATGCTTTGAACTGTCATTGGCCCCAAACTCTTGCCGGTCTGCCAGTTTCAACCAACTAGCAAGCACTGGTTGCCTTAATTTCCGAGAAGAAAAGTGAAGGTGTACAGGGAAAGGAAGCGAGAGATCAGAAATATCTAGGCTGACGTTTGTACCTGAGCGACCTGCGATCTCCACCGCCGCCGCGACGAATCTGCCTCTGGGTAGGGGCTTTCAGCCAAAAAGAAAATGGCTCAGCCGGGAACTGGCGCTCAGGCCATGGAGAAGCCGGTTCAAAGTTCACTTGTTCTCGCTGGTGGAGGTGAGGGTGGTGAAAGGACCAGAAACAGCACCAGACCACTCCGAACTCAAAGAACCTCAAGCTACAATGGCCAGAACTGCCGACCGTCCGTGTTTTGACGTTTCCTATTGTTGCCGGAAGTGACGTTAGGGCTCTGACTCTTAACGAAAAAACATTTTTATTTCCGTTGTTTACGATTCGCTATAGATTCTTTGTTTCTGACTTTGCAGCCCGAGTCAGTCTGACCATCAAAATTATACAGACTTATAATCTGCAAGTTAATATTGGACTGACCATTGAGGAGGCTCTCAGCAGAGTCACTTTCCTCAAAGATCTTAACGAACCCGGTGTGGAATCTGCAGGGGGGAATCCAGGAGCGCTGAGGAGCCCGCAGCTTTGAAGGTTTTACCGCGGTGCGTGGCGGGCTTGAACTCATCCTTCCAAATACAAACGGTCGGCGCGAGAAGTGCTCCTGGGCGCAGGCGCCGGGCAGCAGGGACTCGTTGCTGGAGGCTGGGTTCGGGTGACTGTCTCTGGTTGTCCCTCCTCTCCTTGTCGTGCCTGGCCAGAGGCCTCCGGAGCCCGCTTCTTTGCTCGGCGACTGCTGGGTGAGCCCCGGGGAGCCGGCGAGGCTGAGCCCTAGGTTGGGCAGAGGTCCCCTTTCCCTGCTGCCCTTACGGAGACCCCAGGCGTGGGCTAATGACCGGGTCCGCCTTGTCATCCTTTTAAATCAAGTGGCGGGAGGGAGCCCTAGATGTGCCTTTCCTATGTACCCAGCTAGCGTATGCTCTTAGTAACAACGAAATAGAAAGAATCGTGGCAGCTCATAACATCAGAATTAGGTTGTGATTTAGGGTAGGAAGTTATAGATTTACAGATTCTTACTGGATCCTGAGGTGAGGATCCATCGGGCTCTCCAGGGTACTGACCAGAAGGAAGCAGTTCATATTTTCCTTGCTTTCATTTTCCCGGTGTTTCAAATATTTTCACACCTTTCTTGAAGACTATACAGAGTTTTCCCTCACTATAAAAAAAAATCAATCTTGAATTTTTTATTCTTTTTGTTCTGGAATTATGGCTATGTTGGACGATTTTTTTTTCAGAATGATCTGCAAGCCTTTTAACAGTTTTGTATGTGAACACAGCAGTCCCACTGAGTCTATACTTGTCCCTTACTCTTTTTTTCCCAGTTTGCTCAATGCTTTCCCTTTCTCAGACCTTTTTCTTTATCTCTTAGAGAAGTATTTCCCAATTGTCTTTTGTGAAAAGTTTCATAACCTTAATTTTTCCTCATCTTTACTCCTGTATTTTCGATTCATGGTTTTTAGATAATACTGAGCATTGTTATGTCATAAACTCTTAGCCAAGACTATAATTGTTACAGTCAGTGTAGTTGCTTCATTCTGAACAAAAATCACGTTGACTCCAGTGGCATTCCATTGGGAGGCATCGTTTTAATGACCTTGAACAGCAATGAGATTGAGCTAGGTTAAAACTGCTAGCTGGAGCATGACGTTTTCACGACCTTTCCCACAAGTTTAATTGGGCAGATCTGACTTGTAAACAGACACTCTGGAGAAGCAAGGAAGCAATACTGACATCTTCTTAATGATTGAATGTATGATACAAGCTGAGTAGTATCTCCTTTTTTCTTTTAATTTCTTCTGATAAGGGTTATAAGGTGAAAGTATTAATTTAAGTAGTTATTTTTCATCATCTCTGAAAATACTGTGTTGAAATGTGCATAAATAGTAGATCGGCTTATTTCCATCTCTTAATTTTATTGTTTTTAAATTTTATAATAGACTTAATAAAGCCTTTCATGCAAATACAGAGCAGTAGCTGTAATTTTTTCTATAATCATATTTCCTTGTCCCTTTATTTTTTTCTGTCCTGTCTTATCACTTATCTCCTTCACCTACAGATCCAAGGTGTACTTGTGTCTTACTCTTCTTCAAAATATTAATTCTGCTGGTAACGAAGAGGATGTGTTCCAGGGATATTGTCAGAAATTCCATGACAGAGGTAGAAATAATAATGTAATAGACATTGAAATGTGTTCCAGGATATCAGATAAAAGAAAGATGAAAAGATACCATAAAGTGTCACATAAAACAAAATTACATGTACTGGGAAGATGAAATATACATTTGGAAGGACCAAAGGAAGTCTGAGGGAGGAGATACAATTTACATTAAAGTTACAAAATGTCTTTCAGGAAGAAGGCACCCCTGGAAGAATTGTGTTAAGAAAGATGGCTGGAACCTAAAACAATGTCAGACCCATGATACTGGCCAACGGCAAAACCCAAGAATTGCTTTTGTGCAGTTATAGCCAGATTAGTTTTTATTTCATCTTTCCCAGAAAAGTAAGGGTTGGTCTTGGAAAATTTCTCTTACTGCTTCCATGGGTCCATTACCCCCAATTGATTATCCTAAACGATGTTACGTAAGTTTTACCTTCTTGGCCAGTGTTTTGCATAATGTGATTTCAGGATCACTTTCTCTTTTTCTAGTTACCTCTCATTTGACTGTACCTGAAATTCGCTCTGCCTAAAAATGTAAATATTTAGTTAAAATAATTGATTGGCTGAAAAATAGTGACTGAAATGCCTATGCACAAGCGTATAGAAAAGTCTACTCAGTAATGTGTTCTTTACCATGTTGATAAAGGAGAGCAGACTAGAAATAGGAAGTCAGTGTTCCTAAAGAGAGGGGGCAGTCACTCTAGCCTGGGGAAATGGCTACAGGGCAGCTAGGGGCTTAAAGTAGAAAGCTTCCTAAGTCTAGGTATTTGCAAATTGCTAGCCTAATTACCTGTAGTTATGCATAGATACAAAGAAGGTGTATAAGGAGATGATTTGTATCCTGGGCAGTTGCTGGAATTCAGACTAGGTGAAAAGATCATACTAACTATTTCACTTGATTTATGAATTGTTCTGGTTTTTTCTTTTTTTGTCATTGTTTTTAATACCAATGACTTCATTTTAAAGGGGCTTCATTCTCAGAGGATTCATTACTCAAGGTATTGTTATATATTATTTTCCTTCTACGAAGTGTCCACAGAGAGTTGAAATAGATATTTTTAAATAAGTTATTGAGTTTCGCCTTACTGGTTGACTAGACTTACAGTTCAGTAGCCTTTTACCTCCTTCTAGCAAAGGTTCTTAATCATTTATATACCTATCTACCTATTAATTTTATGATCCTCCTCTGGGAAAAACCTTTGAGAATCTAATGAAAGGCCTACTCCTTGAAATAAAATGAGTTATTTAGAAATAAATTTCATTGTATTATTTTTTGGGCAATTTTAAAAAATGATCCATTCTATTTAAAATCTCAGGTTGTTTATATCTTTTGGTTCACACATATTTCTATTATATACATTATTCAGAGTCATGTTCCTATTTCATAGGCTCTACGTATGTCAGGTTTAGTAGATATCTCCAATAAGTTTTCCAAAGTAATTGTACCAATTATTGACCCTTTCACAGCATAGATATTTCGTGTGTTTTGATGCTGTGTTGTTAGGTGCATACATACATGTTAAGGATAGTTATGTTTTCTTGGAGAATTGACTTCTTTTATCATTATATAATACCCCTCTTTATCCCTGACAACTTTCCTTATTATGATATTTGCTCTGTCTGAAATTAATATAACTGCCCCCACTTTCTTGTGATTAGTGTTAGCATGGTATATTTTCCCCTATCTATTTATTTTTCATCTATATGTATTTTTAAAGTGAATTTCGTATAGATAACATATAATTAGATCTTGTTTTTTGATCCATGCTGATAATCTGGCTCATTTTAAATTCTCACAAGCTATTTATTTTTTATATCCTCCTATTCTTATTTTGGATTTTAATATTCTAATCTCATTGAAAATATTATACCTTTTATTTTGAAATTTTCTGTTATTTCCTGCATTGTCTCTATTTCCACAAAATTTTTCCTTTTTGTATTGGTCTTTCCCTTTTATGCTGAAGGCTTTCCTCTTAATAGTTATTGACCTTTGAGCATATATTTAGTTTTAAACATGAGATTCTGTAAAAAGGTACACA